AAAAATCAAATACATTGCAAAAACAAAAATATATAAGTGATAAGCATAAATATAAGTGCACAACACTCAATCTCCCCTAAAATCCACACTTGAGGGATCCAAATGAATAATATGAGCAACACGTGAATTCCTTCTATGGGGACATAAATAGAGCAAACAGTGCTATGTGTCATATAACACGCAACATAAATGTGAATAGCACTAAACAATACTCCAATCGGTCAGCAAACAAATATATACCCTACAATCAAGTCCCAAAACATATACAGTGGGGCAAAAAAGTATTTAGTCAGCCACCAATTGTGCAAGTTCTCCCACTTAAAAAGATGAGAGAGGCCTGTAATTGGCATCATAGGGTAGACTATGAGTAGACCAGCAGTGGCGCACCTTTGTCAAGTGAATAGAATGGATGGATACAGCTGGAGGGAATGCTGATATATAGGGATGACTGATGGCCCATTAACAATTAAAGGAGCAATTTAAAAGGGCAACCTATTTTAATGATTTTCCAATTATTCCCATATCATTTACATAGCTCATAATATGACAGGATGACCTGTTCTTATGTCCACATTTTCAGCCTGGTGATTCATTTTCCTTTTCCTGACAGTATTGGGTTTTTATTGGACATACTGTATGTCCAATAAAAACCTAATACTGTCAGGAAAAGGGAAATGAATCACCAGGCTATCACCAGGCTATAAATGTGGACATAAGAACAGGTCATCCTGTCAAATTATGAGCTATGTAAATGATATGGTAATAATTGGAAAATCATTAACATACTAATAAAGGAAAATGTACTGATGAAGACAACGAGGGGGTGGGGGGGAATGCTGTATGATAAACATGTTAAGGGCTAGTCTTTCATAGCTCTAATGTCAAGGAGTGCTAATATATGTAACTCTGGGCTTCAGATAAAATATCAGATATAACTGATTGAATATACTAGGCCAAGGAGGTAAAGAAAAATGACCCATGGGAGGACTACCCAGAATGACCAATGCTCGTGTAAGAATGTTGCATATTATATTATGGAGACAATCTCTAATTCATCATTGAGGCCTCCTGGGGTCAGGGTGTCCAGAGTATATATCCAAAAGTTTTCTCTGGCGCATAGTTTGAGAAAATGCTTACCTTCAGGAAATGATTTAGAAATTTGTTCAATGACCCAGACCTGTAGGCCTATGGTGGATTCTGGTGCTTCTAGGAAATGGCATGGGATGCTGTGTTTGTCCTTGCCTTCTTCTATCAACCGCTTGTGCTCCCCAAATCTTTTTCTTAGTGGTCTGGTGGTTCTGCCTACATATAGTTGTCCACAGGGGCAGGATAATGCATTAACAACAAATTTTGAAAAGTATTTGTAGAAGTTATTTCATTGTTACACTTTACCTTTTATGGAAAAATCTTTTTTGCCATGTGGCATGAATTGGCAAGTTTTACATAGGGTCCTTTTGCATTGATACATGCTTGTTGGTGGGATTAGACAAGGTTCGAGTTATTCAGAGCAACTTGATTTTAACATGCTGGGGGCAATTTTGTTTTTAAAGTTTAAGAGTCACCAAAAGGAGTGGATGGGCATTGCAGAATTCTGCACAGCCAAATTGATGGGAATCCTCATTAAACACAGACTAAATAGATTTGAACAGTTTACCTACTTGGTCCAAATCTTAGCACAAGAAATCATAGGAACACCCCTGTTCCTACACCTTGGTTAAACATCCTAAAAAGAACACAAAAAGGAATGAAAACTCCCTAATAAAAACTAAATTGGGGAAATTCCGACGAGACAGACGATTATAAACATAATTGAATATACTTCTGGAAACGTGACAATAATCCTATAAGGCCTTACCATCTCCAAAATTCCACACATCAGTCAGTAAAAAACCTACTTTACTCATGAGCATCAAAACACACAGGCAATATGATACTCAGCAACAAAACTATACTAAGAAATCAAATAACCAACATTCTCAAAAAAATAGAGAACTCTAAAACAAACTCAGTCTTTTTTTTATAATAGATGTTCCCTCAGAGAGCAGTCCTAATAACAACAAGAAAAACTACAATATCAATAATCCCTCCACCCATACGGGCCATGCTTCTAAAGAAAATCATTCCTCAGATACTTTAGAAGACAATATGACAATTAGCAATCCTACCCCCATACATACATCAGTTCCTTTCCTCACAGATGTCTCTGGGCTCACTCAACCTCAGAACAATATGTCTCATGCAGTCGGTACAGCACATAACGTAGTTCCAGTTAACAACAATATTTCTAACTCCACTTCTCCCATTACCACAGTACCTACTCTTTCTACTTTTTTTGGTCTCCAACCCCCCTCCATCCCAGACGTTAAAAGAAAGTATACAGGAGAGGATGCAGAGGGGGAAGACACCACTAAAAACAGAAACATCTGCAGCAAATCCCAGAAAGTGTGAGAATTAATTTGTCATCATATACCCTCATACAAGCAGACACTATGCTTCTAAGCAAAGGACTTAATTTTGCCTCTATGACTAATGCCAACCCCTTTGTACTGTTCAAACACTTGAATAGATACATCAGTAAGTTTAACTTTAAAGAGATACTTGCACATACAAAGGCAAAAAAACAGAGGAACCTCTACAGAAAACCCCTCCCCCACACCATCTACCCTATTTAACCTCTTTGATTTTAAAACAGATGTTATTGACACCTTATAGCAATTACACACTGAAGGATCTGACCTCGGTTTATTCACGCAACATTTGGAAGCATTCCCTCCTATAACCTATACCAACCTGAAGCCAAAAGCTATCTTTTTTCCCCTCATAAGCTAAAGGCCCCTACCTTGAAAGTTCCTACAAGGTAGTTTATCCTGACTTTCTCAAGATTATGTTAGAGAACAGCCCCCAAATACAACCAACTCCACAATCTTACCCATTTGGAAAACAGGGCTTTAAAACAACTCATGGATAATGAAAACATTATCATCAAAACAGCAGACAAGGGCTGGGGCATAGTTATTCAAAACAAGACAGATTATATCATATAAGCTACCAGATTGCTCTCTGATAAATCCACATATGCTAAACTGGGAAAAGATCCCACTGCTGCATACAAAACAGAAGCCAACATTCCGGTACAAACAACCTTACAAGATCAGATCATAAAAAATATGGGCAGCACTGTGGCTAAATGGTTAGCACCTCCGCCTGGCAGTATTTATTGGTTCAAATCCCGACCACGGCACCACCTGCCTGAAGTTTGCATGTTCTCCCTGTGCTTGCATGGGTTTCCTCTAGGTACTCTGGTTTCCTGGAAGGTTAATTGGATCCTGTCTAAATTGGCCGTAGTATGTGTATGAATGTAAATTAGAAATCTTAGATTGTACGCCCCTTGAGAGTTAGGGACTGATGTGAATGTGCAATATATATGTAAAGCACTGTGTAAATTGACAATGCTATATAAGTACCTGTAACAAATAAACAAATCTGAAGTGGCTTTCCTAACCAGAGATTATTATCAGACCCCTTATTTTTACTATATCCCAAAGAGACACAAAAACCAGCAGCATCCTCCGGGCAGACCAACTATAGCAGCTATGAATAGCATCACTACTGGGTTCTCACTTTACATTGATCGTTTCTTGCAACCCCTGGCACAGAACCTTCATTCATACATCATTGACGGTACACATCTGTTGGACACACATTATCACTATACAAGTGGGAACCCAAATATTCTTGGGTTTCACTTGACGTGAATTCCCTATTCCAACTACCCCCCTTATTTCGGGAAATCTATACCCTTCTTAATCAATGGGACTCTCATAAGATATCTTTCTTAGGTAGAGTAAATGTCTTAAAGATGTCAATTTTGCCAAAGCTATTTTACCTTTTTGAGACTCTGCCAATCTCAATCCCCCGTGCCCAACTGCAAACTTTATAGCGATCATTTCTTAGATTTATTTGGCGTGCCAGAAAACCCAGGATAGTATGGACAGTTCTTTTGTCCATGTGTTCTTAACTGTTGAACATTTTGTATATACCAGAGCTCCTAGGTAGTCTGTCTTACTCACAGGTGAACCCTTGGGCATTTAATGGAATATTCCAACCCCGCCATCTGGTCAATCCTGTTTCACATAGAATTCGATCATTTGAGGAGATTAGGGTGTGGAGTCGGCCAGGTACACTTACTTGCAGTTTAGTCACTTCTTAAGCTTCCTGAATTCCTCCTTAACGGTATTAACCCTACGGACTTCAAGAAGATAGCTATTAAGGATCCCTCCCTGCATCATCTTATCACCTCTCTATATAAACTGCTTCTCAATAAGGAGTCTGTGGTCGAGAGGCCCCACCGTTATATGAAGAGATTGGAGGATGAACTCCAATGTTCAATTTCTTTGAAATGGGGTTTCTGCTGCCGAGACCTCTCGCTGTGTTGTATGTAAAGAAAACTTATATAAAGTGTTGATGCATTGGTATAAGGCCCCTGTAGTGCTCCATGCAATTATTATTATTATACAGTATTTATTTAACCCGAATCTGTCTGATAAGTGCTGGATATGCATGGGAGGAGTAAGTACACTGGTGCACATTTTTTGGTTTTGTCCACAGATTGCGGGCTATTGGGCTATGGTTCAAATGGTATTGGAACAAGTACCTAATGCTGTCCTGCACCTAGACCCGTTACATTATTTTTTGGGCTTACCCTTTAGGGGCATCCCCAAACTATCTAAAAGGTTTGGAGTACATATTCTGACAGCCGCTATAAGAGTGATACCACGATTTTGGAAATCAGCAGATGTCCCCATGCAAAATCACCTTTTAAGAGTGATCTCTGAAATTAGGGAAATGGAATACCTTACAGCTCTAGTGGGTGAACATTCAGGTAATTTTCTCTCTATTTGGGGGCCATCAGACTACTCTCCCTTTGGTAAGCTTCCTTCCTCCCCCCTCCTCCTATTTAGTCCAGATACATTTTCAAGCAATATGCCTTTGACAGATAATGTAGTCTAATGATGACCTTAATTGGAAAGCAGGATACCGTGATCTGAAGGTTGCAGAAACAAATATCAGCCTTAAAGGAGACTTTTCTTGATGCAGTGACTTGCGATGCTCTGCGGTGACTTTGCGATGCTCTGCGGTGACTTGTGATGCTCTGCGGTGACTTTGCGATGCTCTGCGGTGACTTTGCGATGCTCTGCGGTGACTATACGATGCTCTGCGGTGACTTTGCGATGCTCTGCGGTGACTTGCGATGCTCTGCGGTTACTTTGCGACTAGTATTGTGAACTCTCTGGATGCAACACGTGGTCTCTTGATGGATAGCGGTGCGGGCACTCTAGCTCTGGACTCTGGCCCTCCCCCCATGCATCTCTTTCTCTCTCTAGGGGTGCAGGAGGTTTGGTGCTCTTTCTCTGACTGTCTTGCCTTTGCCGTTATGCCACTTTAAGAGTCGGCTGCAGTCTTACTAATGCGCACGTGCTATGGCCTGTACTGTTGTTCCGCTGAGGTGTCTCCGCGTGGCGGTATATGCTGGCGCTCTGTTTCTCTAGTGTACTCTTTACTGTGCAAGTTGAGGAGCACTGTTGCTTGACCTCTGAGGGTAATAGTTCCACTGTGGCAGGCGCAGCACCCTTTGGTGCCTAGTGCGCTGTGGCATTAGAAAAATTATGCAATTGCTGTTTCTTTGTTTGATTAGACTGACTTTACTATGTAATTCCTCCAATGCCGCTCTATGGATGCAGTAGGTTTAAAGAGCACACCGAATACTTTAGTTAACTTCTTTAATAACTTCAATCTTCTTCATATAACTGCTTACAATGGCTTATTTCTTTCATATTACAATGGTTTAATTCGTATTACATTGGATTGATTCAATAGCTTATCTCGATAGGTTCAATAGATTTGATAAATTTGTTCTGTATATTTCGATAGATTGATAAATTCACTTGGATTTATAAATTCGTTAGATTACTCTACAGTGACTTGATTCGTAAGTTCGATAGGATTCGTTCGATTATGATTACTCTACAGTGACCTGATTCGTAAGTTCGGTGGAACTACAAGTAAACACATACAACAGATTTTACACACAGATCTACCTGCACTGTTAAACAACAGAGGAACACACAAGTGCATTAAATACCTATTTGGCCTTCTCTGCTTCCATAAAGCTTCTCTGATTGGAAATTTGTCTATTTCCTCCTCTGTCTGGTGAGCATGTGTCTCTAGAACAATCTAACAGGGAGTTTTACACAGGCATAAATGTGAAACTGGCTGGGATTGGTTAAGGCTCTGTACAGTGTGAGGCTGTTTGTGATTGGCTCACCTTATACTAACTCTTAAAGGCATATTTTCCTTTTTTGCTTCTGCTAACACAATTAATATAAAAATGTCATATAACAATCAAAGACATAAATCACAGCAATGATCCTGCTTTTGGCTTTAACATATACACATATACACTGTACTGAGGTTATTGGCAGGTTTGGTATACACATATATGTGAACCAAATTAACAATCTAGGACTGGTCTTAGCTGGCCAGCTACACTAATAGTGTAGTAGGTTTTATTAAGATGAAAATAACCAAATGAACAGTATAAAAACTCACACGAACTAGCATATGGGCTCAGTAGTGGCTGCGGGCGTCAGTCTGGTGGATTCCCCTGACATGTTTCGTGCGACCAGCACATTCTCACAGGGTAAAATCCACCCAGAGGACGCCAGTTAAATAAATGAAGTCGCGCATGCGCAGACGCCACTCCACGTCGGACAATCGGCGCATGCGCGAGTGACGTCACATGCTGTAATATGCGGCCTCTGGTGCACACACGAGAGCACGTCACTTGCCGCATTATGTCCACAACGTCACGCCAGTGCGCATTCACGGACGGGTAAGGGACACAGGATAATGGCACATCACCGAAATGATAGAGACATGCTTTAAAAGGCTGAAATGTTTCCATTTACAGAACAAAACGGAGAAGATGATAATAACATTAACTATATAATCACCATGTAAAATAGGAAACAAGGCGTGTACTTTTTACACATAAGCCTGTCTCTAACACGGGGATACGGACTCCATTTTGTTGTAGTCCTCATTATGAGTGGATGGAAATCAAAACGGTCTATACAGGTATTAACCGTACAGTATAGGGAAACTATCATCCAGCAGGCCAAATCCATTCATAAATATAAAAGCACACATATATAATAATATTAAGATGAAAGAGCCCAACATGTATAGTTAATAAATACCATAAAATAGTAACAATAAATATCATAAAGTGAAATAAAATACATAAATATAAAATCAGTGTACAAAATAATAATAGTATTAATAATAAAAGTACCTAAAAAAATTATATAAACATTCCAATAATATGAGACAGACATAAGGGACTATATAATTAATATTAATAACATTGAATAAATATGAATATAACCTAAGACCAATAAATGAATACAATATTCAGAGGTGAGCATCTTAATCCTGATTGTCCCCCCCTCCGAAAGGGGGATGAAACCCCCAACAACAAAAAGACCCGAAAAACGCACACACATTATAAAAGGTTGCGATTCTGGCAGAATTAAAACAAATTTAAAATGTTCAGACTAAAAGGAAATCAACTATTATCTATAAAACAGTTAATATCAAGGTCTACATTGAGACCTTGGGGGGACAGAGATTTTAATTCCACAATCCATTTGGTTTCAAGTTGGGATACCGCCCTTCTCTTATGTCCCCCTCTCCAATGTTGTGTAATCATATCAATGGCTGTAAATTTCAACCATGTTGGATCCTTAGCGTGGTGATCTCTAAAGTGCTTGGAGAGCGAATGGTCCTTGAAGCCTTTCTTAATGTTATTGTAATGCTCTCTTAGGCGATCTCTCAAACGTCTTGTGGTCCTGCCTACGTACTGTAGCTTGCAAGGGCATTCTAGAAGATAGACCGTGTGCGTGCTATTACATGTGATAAGAGGGCATATAGTATAACTGTTGCCTGTTATACTAGATCTAAATTCTCTAACTTTATTCTTATGAGAGCCGTTGAATCGACAGGCAATACACTTGTTACACGGGTAAAATCCCTTGAGGCCAAATGATGAGGACATATTCTTGGGTGGATCAACCACATTTGGAGCTACTGTGAGTCTAAGTGAGGGGGCCTTTCTAAAAGTGATCTCGGGGAATTCAGGTAACACACACTGGGTCGCTTCTTAAAACTCCAATTTTTCACCCAACACTGGGTCGCTTCTTAAAACAGACCAATTTTTCTTAATGATTTTCTTCACATCCCTGTATTGGATGGAAAAGTCAGTAATAAAGGGACAAAACCTTTGAGGCCTTATTTTTCTCTCTGTTGTAAGTAGGTCCGCCCTATCCAGTTGGCCTACTTCCTTAATGGTCTGGTTTAGAACATCTGTATTGTAACCTTTATCAGTGAACCTAGTTCTTAGTGTGATCGCTTGGTCCTGATATTCAGATAGATTTGTACAGTTTCTCCTTAATCGGAGGAACTGTCCCTTAGGAATATTATTTAGCCACTTAGGATGGTGGCTGCTGTCAGTGGGTATAAAACCATTTCTATCTGTATTTTTAAAAAAGGTTTTCGTTAAAATACTATTACCATTATTGATTAAGACCAGGTCTAAAAAATTGATTTCCTTAAAATCATATACATAAGACAATTTGATATTAAGACTGTTGTTGTTAAGAGTAGTAAAAAAGTTTTGTAATGAGAACTCAACACCCTGCCATAGAAGGAAGATATCATCTATATATCTTCGATAAAAAATGAGGGGGGCCAATCTTGAGAATAAATCAGATCTTCTTCCCACCTGTCCATAAAGAGATTGGCCAGGCTTGGGGCAAACTTTGCCCCCATCGCAACGCCAGTAACTTGCAGATAAAAAGCGTGGTTAAACCAAAAGTAATTTTGATGCATGGCGAAGTTGAGTAAATCTAAAATAAAATCTTTTTGACGCTTAGGTATATCCGATATGGAGTCAAAATAAAACTGAACCGTTTCCGTACCATCATTATGCTTAATATTGCTATACAAAGCTGAAACGTCTGCTGTAACTAAATACGTTTCATCATTGACTCTAAAATTCTTTAAATCTATTAGTATTTTCTTGGTATCCCTTAGATACGCTGGTGTTCTGCTAACCAACGGTTGTAGATAAAAATCTATATATTCACGAATACGGGAATTGAGTGACCCAATACCACTAATGATTGGTCTTCCTGGTGGGCAAGCGGGGTCTTTATGTATCTTAGGGAGACAATAAAGCACTGGGAGGCAGGGAGCTGTTGGACATAAATAAGCTTTTTCTTTTTTAGTTATTACCCCGTTCTTATACCCCTGTTTGATAATGCTCTTAAGTTCACTTTTATAGGCAATTAAAGGATTCTTGGGTAATGGTTGGTAGGTTTCATGGTCATCCAGTAGTTTAAAAACTTGGGTCATATAATCCACTTTGTCCATAATGACCACCCCTCCTCCCTTATCAGCCGGCCGGATGACTAGATCTGTATTTGTCAATAAAGATTTAATGCTATTGTTGACCATATGTTGATTGTGTAGATTTCTCACTTTAATCCTATCCAGGTCCTTCAAAACTATACCCTTAAACGTATTGATATAAGAATATGTAAAGCACTGCGTAAATTGACAGCGCTATATAAGTACCTGAAATAAATAAATTATTGCACTTTTTGGATTTTACATGCATTTATGATTGATAACATGCATTTATAGCACTGCACTATTACTTTAATATATTTCTATTCTGGGACTGTTGCCAATACCCTGAGTGCTAGCTGATACCTTCATATCTATACCTAGACTTTTATATTTATCTTGTGTAATACCATTTTAGTAGTCTATATAATTTGACCAGCGCTCGCTTTATCATTTTTAAACAATGTAACTATTCTACATTGGAGCTCAAGCTCTGTCTCCCACAGTGGCTTAGTGGTTAGAACTCAAAATTTACAGCACTTGGGTCATGGGTTCTAATCCCAGTCATGGCTGCATCCCAGTTTGCATGCTTTCCCTGTATGAATGTGTTTCTGCCAACACTCCAAAGACATGCTGCTAGGTTAATTGGGCCAAGTACATGGCTGAGTTTCTGCTCTTACATTATAAGCTCCTTGACATTTATGAATGTTAAAAAAATGGAGATCAATTTTCTGGATTGTGTCAGTGCCAGGAATATTGATCAATCAATTAAGATTTTACCTAATGACTAGAAAGTGGAAAGGGGGTGTGCGTCCTGTTCTTCTGACAAGTTGGAAATGTGCAAGTTTCATGCTGTGTATATTTCATTGTAACTTTTTTTTTATCTTCTTTTAAACCTGTCTCCTTATACAACTTGACCCCCTCCCCCACCCCATCATCACCTGTCCCATATGCAAATCTATGGATCACGCCCCACTCTTTTTAACTATTTATTTACTGATCAAGTGAAT